TTCAGTGAGCACTTAATAAAACTTCACGTAAAATGTAAATGTATTTTCAGAACCTACGACTTTTGTCTGATTATAGACCAATTACGAAAGTTGGTAAAAACTGTGATTCGGAATTTTCAAAAGTATTAAGGAAAAAAACAAGCATTGGTGCAATGATTTTGAAAGCCCTATCCATGTAATTCAGTTTTTAGCCGAACAAAACTTAGCCTTTCGTGGTTCCAGTAACAAATTATTCGAGAAAAATAATGGTAAATTTTTAATGTGTATAGAAATTATTGCAAAATTTGACCCTATCATGTCTATACATATTAATTCAAATAAAAAAAAAAATGTGCCTCACTTCCTGTGGGATAAAATTGAAAATGAAACAAATAGCTTATTAGGGGATAATATAAGCAAATTGCTTTAAATAAGACAAAACAGGCAAAGTATTTTTCTAGTTTAGTTGATTGTACCCCTGATGCCAGCCATCAAGAGCAGATGTTAATTCATATGAGGTACAGAATTAGTGTTGAAGGAAGGTTTTTAGTATTTTGGTCTGCAGCAGGTACGACTGCTGAAGGAGTAACAAACTTGACTAAAAACTATTCTTATTAAAGACTAAAAACCATTCTTATTAAAGACTTTAGAGGAAAAGGGTTTAGATATTAGTAATTTGCAAGGCCAAGGACACCACAGTGGTTCAAACAGGAGAGGTAAACATAGCGGTGTGCACAAAAGAATTTTGGATATCAACCTAGAGCATTTTTTGTGCCCTATTGTAATCACAGTTTGAACCTTGTCGAACGGCACTGCGAGCAACAATTTACTTAGTGCAAAATGTTTTGTAATGTTCAAAAGCTTTACAATTTTTTTCGCCTTCAGCTAATCTCTCATCTGTTTTAAAAAGGCATGTTTAAAATTTAACACTGAAACCTTTGTCAGATATGTGGTGGTAGATGCAATAACCCCGTTAAAATTTCGATTAAGAGAGGCTTTTGATGCCCTCTATGAAACAACCGAAAAAAGTTTTTATAAACACTAAAAAAATCAGGCCACATCCTTAGGGTAAAATTCAAAAATGTAATTTTATGTGTATGGTAGTTTTATGGTATAAAATGCTGAACAAAGTAAATGTTAAGATACATTAAGACGCCAAACAAATATTAATTTAGAAGTCAAACAACAAAGAAAATTTGAAAATATAACACTGATTTTTGTTGTTTGGTTTCTAAATTAAAGTTAATGTTGTTAGCAATATTCTCTAAACTAAAAATTTAAATATTTCTCAGACACCTGAAAGTTTAAATAAATTAAACTTGATTGTAAGACTGATGCCAGCCATCAAGAGCAGATATCAGTTCATATGAGGTTCAAAAAGGCTCAGATCTATAATCATATTTTATCAGTACTGTAACCAATTTTATAGATCTGTTAAAGTCTTCAATGATATGGTCACAGAAAGTAAAGAACTGGCATCTTCTTTAGATGTTGATGCAGATTTTAAAAGCCAAGAAACATTAAGACTCAAGGGGGTGAATACAAAAAATGTACAAAAGTTAAGACCAGCTTATGCGAAACAAAGTAAACTTTATAGTAAATTGTTTTTTTTTGGGGGGGGGATTTTAGGTGTTGCGATATCATCTTTAAGTGAAAGGTTTGATCTCTTTTCTTCAAATTCAGAAGTTTTTAAATTTTTGTGGAATATTTCTGATTTCACTAAATATGCTAAACAAGATGAGCTCAATTTATGTCAAAAACTGCAAAAAGCATTAATTGATAAAAATCAGAGCGATATAAATATTGTAGATCTTTTGCATGAATCACAGTTTTTGCAGACTTTTGGAGAAAATCTCTGGCTGAAACATTGTCAGCAATTGTGATAATAATAAATTTTTATTCACTTTTCATCGGACTTGTGCATTTAATTTATTACAAATCCTGTATACACGCAACAATTTTTGGTGTCAGAAGTGGGATTTGAACCCACGCCTACATTTGTGGACCAGAAAAAAAATGTTGCCAGATGTACCACAACACATTATAAAATCAACTCTGATGCTTCTTTCTAACAGTTTTCAGTTTGGGGGGAGGAAAACAGCAAAAAAGATATATATTCCAACAGAATTGAAACCTGCTCAAAGACATGCATTTCATAATGTCTTGTATAGTATTTTAATCTGTGGAATTTTACAGAAATAACTAAATGTCTTCCACAAGCATTTGGGAAAGATTTATTTGCAAAACAATTTAATGGAGCCATATGTTCAGTTTATATGCATTTTGTATGCCTTTTATTGAAATAACTAGTCAATAGTTTACTTATTTGCCGAGTTGGTAAGATTGCTGAAGAATGGTAATTCAACCTGCTTTTAACCCTGAGGAATCAGTGGGCTGCATGGGTATTTTCGTCATATAATATTTTTGCGAGTTACAGCTACAAGAATGTCTTTTTAAAAAATCACTTCAGATGAGTAGAAGGAAATTGACAATGTACTACAGTCAAAAGTCATTAATCCGTACTCATCGGGACTTCGGCGATTCCGGATTATAGATCATCAATTTAAATCTGGTAAGATGGCAGGCAGAAATTACAAAATTAAAAATATGAAACTGTAATTTATGAAATAAAGAACAATTATGATCTAAAGGGTATCAAAATTTACAAAAAAAAAAAAAAAAAAAAGCTTATATTTATTTGTTTACTTTATTAAACATTTCTTTCAATGTAAAGTTGTTTAAGTTGCTTCGTTTTATGTGATAATACTTTCTCTTAATTCTATAAACAGACATAATTTCTTGTTCAGTTACAAAGTTCCGCTGTTCAAGTCCTATAATTGCTGTGTCGAGAATACCGACTAATTTGTCAATCGAAATTTTTTCGTTTTCAATAACCTCTGTGTCACTTTCTTCACTATCGGAATTATAATGACAAGGAATTTGATTTAAATGGTATCAAAGATGGAGTACATCGAGATGAAATACTACCTTTAGTAAGGAATTATAAGCCAAATAAAATAAAAACATCTGCCCTGAAGATAAGGATAGTGCTGACAGATCAACTTCCAGTTCATTGCGTGCCGCAACATCCCCCCCCGCCCATCCCGCAAAGCAGCATGAAATTGGTAATGAGATTTCGGAATGGTTAGATACACAAAGGATATGCCTTTATCCATTTTTTGCAGCAATTCCACTTTCTGTTTGATGGACATTCAAAACATACTTTCGCTTTGTAGATCCTTACAGCTCCAGAATCGGAAATTCTTTTTGACATAATCGAAAGTTCAAGCTTACCTTTATCAAATTGCTCTAACAGTCTGCAAAAAATAATAAGCCGGATCGTATTCGAAGATTAAGGAACAACGCAATCTGCAACCTTAACTGCAATAGATAATTTTAGCTTATACCATCCATTATACATTAAACGCGCATGCGTAAACGCCTATGCGTCAACGCGACACATGCGCAGAAAGTTTGTAGCTTTGAGGTCTGGATTATGGGTGTCTGAAGTAACGACTTTTGACTGTATAACGAATAATAAAAAAAAAAAAGCAGAGTAAATAGCTACAGATAACTCAAGGGGATTGCAGATAATAGGTAGATCTTCCTTAACATATGAAAAATATCCTGATATACAGAGTCTGGATATGCAATTCCTGACGTTCAGAGTAAACTCTAAACTCAATTCATCTAACTCCAATTGAATTGTAGGTTTTCTGAAACAAACAACTGACTATTGCTGGCTTTCAGACCATTTATATGATGGTGTGCACGCTTCTTCAGACGTTGAGAAAAACAGCTCGTAGGACTTTGAAAATGCATTTCTCCCCTAATTCCAGGAAGTTCCCATTTCTGTCAGATGGGAGTCAAACTTTTTGAGTTTTATTTTTTATAACAAGTACAAAATTTTTCTAAGTATAGGAACTGGAGATGAATATTTGAGTCATCTAAAATATTTTTGTAATTGAAAGTATAGTGCAAAGTACAAAATTTGGACATCCAGTAATTGGAACGATCAGAACCTTGCATAAAATTTTTAAATTTTCCTCCCCTTTTTTCTTGAACAGAGTAAGAACTGATATTATGATGAACAAAGGAAAGCGTGGTGGATATCGATTTCGTTCTTATTACCTTTTCTTTCTCTCTGTGTCTCCTTTGCCCCCCCCAAAGACATCATTATCTGCAGTAGTATGGAGTCGCTCTACATGTTGTTTTGCCTTTAAATACTGGCCTACTAGCAAATCAAATTTTCATTTTCAACTGCACTTTCCCATCGGACACAGCCCTGTATGGATTAAGTGAATTGTGAAGACCATTGTTTGGAGAGGAATGTTGCACATATTTTTTTTATTTTTCACTGTCATAGCAGGAAAAGGCACTAATTTCTAATTTCAACTCACCTAACACTATGAATTTCACTTTTCCATAACTTGATTTGATCCAGTTTATTATTTCAGTCTATTATCACTAAAGAAGAAAGAAATATTACTCAGCTTGAAAAGAACAAAATAAGTTTAAAACTTTAGAAACATTTAAAATGAATTAACCTTTTTATGGTGATCAGCGAGCTAAGTTCGCATTTCAGTTACATTCCACTTGGGGGCATAAACAAATACAACTCGCATTATAAATTTATGACTGACAGATATATTGCACATTTGGGACGAAAGAATTTCTTAATCTTGCAACAACCGAAAGGCTAATAATTCAGATGATCAAGATACATAAACTATTTCATTCCTTTTAAAAAGTAATGCCAGTTTTACCTTTTAGGCATCATGTTTGCTACAAGATTGCTTCTGAAAAGGTGGATGGAAGAACGGCTCAGGTGGATCATAGTTAGTCCTAAATTGCTAATTTTATACCTTTTGTTGTTACCTGAGTTTACCTGAGTTTTTTTTTTTTTTTTTTTTTGAGTTCATTATGTAAAAGATACTAAATTCTCCTGACATTTCCCCTACTTTGCTAATGAAACTCAAAATAATTCTAATTGGTACCGCCAAAATTGAAGCATTGGTTTAGTCATGATATCAACAACTGTTTACTCTTTTACAAGATGAGACGTGCATATAATGTTATTTTATGCAGGTTGCATTTATGATGAAATGTTGTGTCAATGTATTTTGTATGCAAACTATATTTTTCAATTTCTACAAGTTTTATTGTTGATTGATTATCTTCAAAAACTTTTATTTGTAGAGTTTGAGATAGACTCTTCTGTTAGTTTTAATAGCCAAAATAACTCTTCCATAGCTTGCAAAAGGGCAACATATTAACTTTCTGTTGAGGATAAAGATGCATATGATTGTTTTCTTGAAAAGCTATGAAATGTAGTTTCTGCCTGATAAAATTATACTTCCAGATGTGGAGTTTCTGTCTTGAATATCTTGTCTCGATTCAGTATTTGAATAGACTCCAAGGTTTGGTTCTATGTTCAAAGAAATACAGTACAAAGTCTTTAATCTGGACTCGTCGGGACTTCAGCGATTCCTGATTAGGGGTTTTTCAGGATTATAGATCATCAATTTAAATCTGGTAAGATGGCATGCAGAAATTATACAATTAAAAATATGAAATTTTTGCATCCTTTTCATCATAAATGTTCAATTATTTCACAAATAAACTTTGATATCTTCTATTTTATACATGTCATTTCATACAAAATTAAAACGCATACTTAATTATATTTAAAAGTATTTTTATTAACATTCAAAAGACATTGAATTTATAACTTATCTAATGAGAAGGTTGAATTTGATGCATTTTAAGGAGTTTGTTAATATCGGGCTGTACAACTGTAACAACTTACTTAAATTTTACTTAAAAACAACTGTAAGTCTCTATGCTCAGAAACATGGAGCCGATTTTTCTTTTTAGTTACCAATGTTGCTGCACCACTAAATCCATGTTCAGCTAAATAGGAAGATGGGAATGCTATCAGAAATCATTGAACAATCGATCATGGTACAGTTGCAAAATCGGCTTCTGCAGCCAAAGTTCGTGATAGCCATTGTTGAATTTTATTTTTAATTCTTCATTTGTTGTCAATTGTATTAGTAGTTTTAACTGGGATGATCCTGCTGTGTTGACATTTGAAAAAGGATCCAAAGCCCAGTCTGGTGTGTCCATGTTTAGATTGTCCTGGAACCTGTCCTTGAAATCACTGTGGAGGTTTTCCAAGTGTTGACAGTAAACAAACAAGTCATCGTGCTTCAATGATACTGCTGATAAATTTGGGAAGTTATTGAATTTGCATCTGCCAATATTGTTTTTGTATAATAGCAGTTTTGACATGAAAGCAGCAACGCTATTTTTTGTTTTAATCAAGTTTAAGTTGTCGCCTTGAAGTTGGAGATTGACATCATTAAACAATTTATATAGGTCTCTCAAGTACACAATATCATTCTTTGATGAAATAAGGTTGTCGTGCAGTTCCTTGTCTTTGTTTCCTAGGAACTCTACTCAAAAAGATTGTAAAATGGAGTCAAACAAGTACCTTTTGACAGTCAGTGCACCTCTGTGTGAAGCAGCACTTGGTTGAAATATTCATCATTGGTGATGCAATGCTGACTAAATAATCTGCCATTCAATGAGCTAGTTTTGATTTTATTAACTGCTCTGATAACATGCTGCAGCGACGTATGGAGGCGTTCATTCATATTTTTCGCAACCAAATGCTGGCAATGAATTACACAATGCACAGCAAGCATATCAGGAACTTTACTTTTTAAGCGCGCTATGAAGCCTTTGTGATGCCCTGTCATAGCCGGAGCACCATCCATAACAACTGACAAATATTACTAAAAGGAATTTCTTTTTCATCACAAAACTTTTCCAGTGTATTGAATATGATTTCTCCTTTTGTATATGTTTCCAAATTGGTAGCAAACAATAGTTCTTGACATATTCTTTCATCTTTGATAAACTTCGCATATGACAGTAATAATGATTCATTGGTTGGTTAAGTGGAATCATCCAGCTGAATTGAAAATTGACAAGTCTGTAGATGATTGCACAATGATTCTTCAATGTTTTCAGCCATCTCATCAATTCGTCTTTGCACAGAACTATTGCTCAAAGGAATTTTTTCGCATAATATCTGTAGCTGGATAGTGGAGCATAGTGGTTATACTTCTTTTACTGTTGGTAAAATTGAATTTTCTCCAATAGTATGTAGTTTGCCTGTTTTAGGAATCAACAATGAGATATTGTATGAAGCTCAAAGTCTGTCATTGTCTTGCTTAGAAGCTGATAAAAAAAGTTTTGATATATTTGGCTAAATTTCATACTTCATTTTCATGTCTTGAAATTAGTCTTTCTTATTTGGGTGTATTTTATTAAAATGATCTTGAAGCCTATAAGTCTTCATCGCTTCATTTGAAAATGTTTTTCGACAAATAAGGGACATTGGCAACCATAGATGCGTGGGATTTTTGATAAATCCATATTTAATATAATCCACACTATACTGCTGTCTCTCCTTTTTTGCTTTTACTTTATGGATACATGAGTAGTAGTAGTGAATGTTAGACGTATCCAAGTTAAGGGTTATTTATTATAAAATATATATATATACTGTGACAAGAAACGTGACATTCAAAGTGTGTTAACAATTAGCTGTCACAAGCAGGTAAAAAAAAATGTGCCAAAAGACAGCTGTTATCAATGAATTATTTCCATTACCCGAACATATGCGACAAACAGCTCAAGTTCTCTATTAACTATTTTCTTTTCTCATGGAAAAAACTGGTGTTAGGCAACCCTGCGGGAGATCCGCTCAGTGAGACACAAAAGGAAAACTTTGAGAACGCTAAAAGATGCACGGAGAACTGTGATGGATGGGATGTGCTGCGAATAGGGTGTAAAGATAGTGTCCACGGAAGTGAATGGTCTGCTTCAGCTTTATTTAATACTCTAATGCTAATGTTAACATAATTCATCTTTTGTCTAACCAAGAATTAGTTTGTTAAGTTTTCATTAAAAATAAAAAAGCCTGTCCGTTTATTATCCCATCAACATTACAATACTAGAGAGGTAATTGTCAACAGTGAAAAAATAACTTTAAAAACCCTTAAGCTATTGCATGCAATAATGCTGATGAAAAGAAAATGAACAATCATTGCCTTTACATAGTTTGGAGACATATAACACGCATCGACAGGAATAAGATAAATATGCAGTGACTCGTTTATAACACTCGGTGTGGAAATAAAGCATGGGGGCAAGGGTGATGCGGGTTAGAACAAGCACAGATAATACTGTTAATTTCTGCAGGATTGTAAAAATCATGGTTTTTAACAAAAACTTGTTGTAACTGAAGTACTACAAGCATAATTTTTTTGCTATTTTTTATTAACAGTCTTTTATTAACTTTACCTGTATTTATATACGAGATATTTCATGTGAAATTGGATGATTTGAAAATTTTTAATTCAAATCTAAAATAAAAAATTTTTATATCATCCAAGTTAATGTAGATCTGAATGCAATGGAATCTTTAAGTTCAATTTTCATCCATTTCTCAAAGTACAGAAATATGTGAATTTTCGCACATGTCATAAAAATGATTAAAATACATACAATAACAAAAATTAACCAATATCGGTGCTCGTTCAGTTTTCCTAAACCCTCAAATATTTCTAAACATCTAAAAAAAGTAAATATTTAAACAAGATCTATTGTTTTATTTTTAAAAAGGCAGAATTTTATATAAATCATTAATAAAATCTATCAATGGCCATAAAAAATTTTTCCTGTATACTTAATTAGCTTTATAAATAAAGTTAGGCTATTAGGTTATGGTCCATGTGTAACTTGTATACGAACCAGTTACCCTTAGAAATTCCTCCATGAAGGCATACCTCTCCTTAGGCAGATAGTCCTCGAGGCTTTGCCATAATCACACAAACACATTAGGTTATGGTTAGAATATCCTCTTGCGAGATATAGTTGCTTAAAGTACAATCATACATTTGTAAAGATATTAGTGTGTGTTCCAGATACAGTAACAAAAGCATGCTTAATTTTTTAATTCTCACTATTGCTAAGTATAAAGGAACCCATTAGACACAATGTTAAACTAAGTATAACTCTTTATTGTTACAGAAAAGTAATTGTTTCTACCCTTTTTTTTGCTACAACCTCCACTAACTACGAAAATGCTATCAAACAGTTTTAAGTTGGCAAGCTCCTCTAACATGATTTCCATTTTTGGGGGGGGTTAAAAAGAACCCCAAAATTAATTGACCTTTAGTTCACTTTCCCTAACCCCAATAGATTAAATTATATATTTTTTATATAATGTATAGAGGTGTAGCACCCCTATATTAAAGTTAACATGATTAGCGTGTTTTTTTTTTTTTTTTTTTTTTTTTTGTCTTTTAGACAATCTGCCACACTTGTTCATGCCATCTTAAAGCCCCCTAATTTTCTCTGTGTCTTCTGCCTCCCTATCTCAAATGCCCATAAGGGGGCATTATCGCCCATGTTGAGAATCTAGGAAAGTCCTCCTGAAGGCATTCTTTCCCTTAGGCAGATAGTCTTGTGTGATTTGCTGTATTGCAGCAACCGTATCATTTCACTGTGAAATTGAAAAATTGACAAATGTTGTTTGCAACAAGCAGTATGTTCAGTTAGACAAGTTGTACTGGTGCCTTTGACAGGAGTTGAAGCCAAGGCTTTTGTGTAGGCTCTTAGAATACTGACAATGGCAACACAAGAGCATATGGAAGGAATGTATTTAATTCTGCATAAAAGGGTGTATAATGTTGATCAGGCAAGGAGCCAGCTTCAGGACCAAAGACATTCTCCCAGTTTTATTTATAATTATACATGTGTAAAATATACACATTCTAGGTTAAAACATAGAAAAGTCTGAGATGCATTGGGACTGGACCAGCTAGTCCCCACTAGGAAGTTAGAAGCGATTGAGCTGCTTGTGTCATATGTCTTATGTATGGATATTTGCAGTGGTGTCTAATGATGTTAAATTGTATGAAAATCATAAATGCCAAAAGAATAAAAAATTGTATTGCATGAGGCATACAACAGTCACACTTTATGTAAGTACATACAAAAAAAATATTATATGCATCCATAAAATTTGCTGGCACACTTCGAGAACATGATGATATTTTATATTGCCATGGCAGAGTGGTTGAGAATCACTGGCTTAGCGTATCCAATCGTCTTAATCCTTCTCAGGGCATTAAATCGTGTTTAGGACAGAATTGGCTAATGCATGCGTTAGTCAATTTTGTCCTGAACACTAATGCTTTGCATTAGCACTAATAGTGCTGTGCGTACAGTGGTTAAAAAGTTTCCTCACTTAATATTTCTTTACAGGGGAACCAACATGTTTTTGACTTGATGTGAACTTCAGTGCCTGCGTTTTAGCAGTTTACTGTGTATTATGAGGTGTATCATTATGATAAAATATTATAACACGAGAAAAATGCTTATGTGGTTTAATAGGACATTGTTTTCTCAGTAAATAAAACTTCTAATGAATTGTAAATATTCCTTTCAAATTTTTATGCTTTTAAGCAAAATAATGATTCTTTTCTCTACCCTAGGTTTTAGAAGGTGACTTAGACCAGATGCATTTGTTTTCTTATAAAGTTCCTCCTGATTGTGAAAGTATTATATTATCTGAGAAGTTGATATTTGCTACTGTAAAAAGTACTTCTGATGATCATCAGCATGTTTTAAAAATAATTTCAAGAAAGTTTTCAGAAATATCATCTGAAACATCAAAAAAGGTATGTGGGAAATTACAATTATTTTATGTTTGCATGTGCCTCATCATAAAAAGTTGTGCGTCTTTTAATACCTATAATGGAGTGCTACCCATTTTTGAAGTCTTTTGTTTCGTCGCTTTTCCAAAAGTAACTTTCATTGAAAATGTGTAGACCAATAAGGTTGCTAGTTATGTTAATTTGAACATCACTTAAAGAATTCTGTAATACGGAACAAATTGCTTTAAGTGAGAGCTGTATTTTAATTATCAGAAGGTGACTATCTTTTAAATTGTTACTGCTAGTTTGTTTGTATACTGTCTTTGTAAAATAGTCTCCATTTGAAATTTATACCTGTTTGGTTTCTAATTTTTTTTGTGCTTAAATAAGGTGCTGCATTTTTTATCTCAATGAGTAATTATTTGTGGAATTTGTACTGTAAATAATATACACCTACAGAAAAATTGTGTAGCACATTTGGAAAGAAGGTGTTAAATGTTAGGGAGGAGTCAAAACTGGTATTCAGACATCTGATTTGGAATCTTTTACAGAAAAGGAAATTTGATACTGATAGACATTTAACCTTCAGCAGCAAATTTGGTATGGATAGACAGTCACACTTTAGTGGCAGTATCATTAAGCCTGCACTTCTTAAGATCTACTTTTATCTCATAAAATGTGAAAAAATAGGTTTAGACCATGCAAGCAATATTATAGTTTTCAGTAGTACTGGGGGAGGCATCAATAACTAAGCATGCTGAAAATTGGTACTTTGTCTTGGGTTGAAACTCAGGGGGCATGCATGTTTTTCACCATGTGTAACATGAATACTTCTAGTTTACCTTAGAAAGTCCTTCACAAAGGCATCTCTTCCCTTAGATATTCCACCAGTTGCTGAGTTGTTAAAGACTGCTAATTGCTGGTAATTCGTCCTGGATTCAAACTCAGATGAAATGGCTGGGTGCATGGTTTGTTTTGCTCATGGGTAACATGAATGCAAGGCAGTTTACCTTAGAAAGTTTTCCACAAATGCTTCCCTCCCCTTATTCAGATAGTCCTCACGTGCTTTACTATGCCATAGCTAAACTAAGCCATAGCTAAACTAAGTTCCTTAAAGCAAAAACCAAACTTTCTTTAGGCAGACAGCCATCATGTCATTGCCATGTCAAATAACCAGGTAGAATTAAGGTATCACATATACGCACAGAATATGCAAGTCAGATAAAAGATAACTTAGTCAAAGAAAATTTCAACCAAAAAAGTCCAACATTACCTACATGATACAAAATGTATTGTTGGAGATTGTTTCAACACCAACAAACTGCACTGGCTTCCAAAACTAAAGCAAAATATGGAAAACTGATGATAAGTCAAAAGGTGTGCAAGCAAATGTAGTAGTAATATTTATCATATCACTTATAAGTTAAAAAGACAAAATGTTATGGAAATTATGTACAATTTATGATATCAACTGGAACATAAAATCTCCTTTTAGACATGTAAATTAAATAAATAAAAAAATCTGAATATTGAATATTCAGATTCAAACTTCTTCAAACAGCAATCTCTCTGCTGTTACACAGTGTGAATATACAGGCCTGACAGCAATATCATATGCCGTTTATGATATTGCCAATGAGCTGCATGAGTAGCAATGCCCATTGATTATGTAAAATTGTTTATTGTTTGGGGAGGGGTGGGAGGCTAGCAATATGCCTCCTGACAGTGACCCACACATGCTTAGTGGGATTAAGATCAGGACAGTGTGGACCAACAATTTTTTCTTCAAAAAATTGGTGCGCAAGGTGAGCAGTATTGAGGGCAGGCATTATCTGCTTGCAAAATGAAGGTATTGCCAATTATGACAGCTTATGGAAAAACAGTCGAATTTCAATATGTTGTCTCTTGAGCATTGAGAGTCCCATGTGGTAGCACATCTGAGATACTCCTCCTTATACAAGAACACTACCTCTTGCATAGGTATCCCTTTTGTATACATTAGATATGAAGCATTTGTTTTTGTCCATATGTAAGCATATCAAGAATCACCCTGTAAAGCAAATTGGGACTCATCATTGAACAGAAGAGATCTCCACCTCATTTGACTGCATACACAATTCAAATGCTGTCTCCATTAGTGGAAGGCAAGTGGAAACACAGTGCCAGTTGCCTAGACCTCTTTCATGCAGCATTCTGCATATTGTCTGGCTATTGATGTCTGGCCTGTAGCAGAAATAAGCATGGATCTAAGCTGATAGAGTTGCTGTCCTGTTGTGACGTGCAGTAAGTTGCAGATATTAGTCATCTGCAGTAATACTTTTGTCCTGCCTTTGATAGATCTTTTGAGAGCCTGAACCAGTAGTCAGAAATTGGGTCCACCGTGATTTATCACGGAACAGCGTTGACGTTTAGTCATCTTGCTATGGCAGACTGTTGTTGACCAGCTTCTAACTGGCCTATGGGTGTATAATACAATTATTCTGGCAGTTGTTGCCTCGAACTTATTTTTACACTTTGACTCTCTCAAAAGTATTTAATATATTGTTATTCTTGAATAGCAGTTCTGGCCTAAACAACTATTTTTAAGCTGTATCTTATGTACATAAAGCGATGGCAGCACCATTCTTTTGCATAATGCTACTTGATGCAGCTTGCTTTTATTTGTAATGTATCCAAATTTGAAGAATTTCAAGCTACTTTTAGCCAATTTTTCACGATTTTGCAGTTTGTTGCTTAACTTTTGGAAACCAGTGTATATAATGCATTCCGCAGAATAGCTAAAAATGTAGATACATAAATATATACATAGACTACACATAGAATGCTACCTTGATAATATAAATCCTAATCCTGATTTTTCAATGCACCAAGACCTTTCATTTGAATCAAAACCCATGAAGAATACTATCCACTATCCATCTAGGCCTTTGGTAAATAGTAGGCTTTCATCATGCAAGAAATTCAAGCATATGCTTTCCAAACTATGTTTTCATAGAGGACAGTATTTGCAGTCACCATCTACGAGTGAATTTCATCCACAAATATTAAACGTTATTGGTACTGACATTGCCATGTTTACCACTAATGTCAAATCTTTGGTTCTATCCTATTTTTAATTGAGTCTTAAATGATTTTAATAAGCACCTTGATTGAAAAACTAAGAATTGCATCTGAATTTTTTACTCTTGTCTATGAGGTGTTTTATTTCATCTGTAATTTTACAGATTTAAAATCAGGGGTAAACAACAAGAAGGTCTCTTTATGGGAGCATCAATGTCACATATCTTGGTTGTCACCTATATGCAGCAAATGAAAAATGAATTGTTTTTTTTTCCAAGTTCTCCCCCAAGTCCCCCCCTTTTTTGGATAAAAGTGATGGAAAATGATTTTTTCCTACAGAAGATGAACTTAAAGCTCTGTTTGCTATATTACAGTAAGCTTACCCAACCATTAATTTACAGTTAGAAATGTCAAGAGCAGCAATCAGTTTCTCTAGCTGTTAATTTTAAGAAACAGCTGTATTCTTCAGAATACAATGTATCGAGGTAGCTGGCAACACACTGACAACTCCTTTTTCATTTTATTTGCATAATAGAACTGCTTAACCTACTACCCAGTCATCCCATGTTCAAGTTTTGTTTTCAAAAGATTTAGTTATAAATATTTTATTACCCCAACTCATCCATCTGGAAATCAGATAAATTAGACATCACCAAAGCAGATGCTTCAGGTGTATATGTTGTTGTAAAAGCCCAAAGTCTGGTAAGCTTTCACCAAAATGGCTTGGTAAAAGTCCGAAGTATGCTTAATATTCCATTTCCGCCTTTTACCAAGCCTTTGCGATTAAACCTAGGAGTTACCAGGCCTTCTGGTAAAAGTCTGAAACAACGGATTTAAATTTACATTGAATAAGTCTGCACATGAAAATTCCGTCACGATACTTTTCTGTTCTTGCCCCTCCTTATTTGTACCATTTTCAATCTAGTTTCAAGCAAGTGTAAGCGGCTACAATATAAAATAAAAGCAGTTTGTTTCCATTTTAACCCTTTCGGTCCTAATGGGCACATATGTTCCAGAGATTAGATTTCATGGCCTACTGGGTAAATAAAGCCCACTTTAAATGGGTTTTTATCTTTGCAGTGTTTTTAAGGAATTAAAGAACAAATATATGACTAAAGAAACCTGGCAACACTTTTAAATTGCAAATGGCGCACTTATGTTTTTGAGCACGCCCATTACTTAAATTTCAATTTGTGTATTTTTTTAATTTTACAGTAAATACAAGTATATCTAAGGCATGCTTAGTATGAAATAGTTCTTATTATTCTTATTAAGTAGTAATTAGCTGTTATAATGTCAGATGTAAGAAATTTTGAATAAATTCTTTTTGTGCGATATATTGTCCCAGTCATATTGAAACAGTGGATTAATATGTCCCATCAGTGATCAAATTACTACATGCTGATATTATTATGTTTATGAAATGTATGAAAATTTTTGTTGTATATGAACTGGTGCACATGGCAGAATTTAAGTTTTGTATTATTCACATTATATATTACCACAAATTTTAGTATTGTTTTCTGAGAAATTTTAATATCCTAGATGATTGGGACAAATAGTCCGAGTTGACAATACGATTAGGTCATATTGTCCCAGATTTCTAGGAAATGAGAAAAGTTAAAAGCTTTAAACTCGTATTTCTTTTAGTATGCCAGCATTAAATTTACGAGGGCTGGAAGTGGGGGCCATTTCATTATGGAAGCACGTAATAGATGGTGACCTTTGCCTCCTATGATATTATGGGATGGACAATTATAACCATGCCTTCTCCGGAATTCGAACCCGGGCTTATTGCCACGGCAGTCCGGGTGACTAACCACTCTACTAGCTGGTATTTAAAACTATGTGAACCATGTCAAAGAAAAACAGGAAACTGTGAAAAAGAGAGTTGTAATTAAACCAATTGTGCATAGCAAAATGAATTCCCAATGCAAAGTTGACCTAATAGATATGCAGTCCAA